GGGGTTGTCAGTTTACTAAATAATAGAAAAGGAAGGGAACCACTGTTCTAAGTGACTCAACTCTAATAGGCTTTTGTGACATAGCATCACATGAAAGTTTAAACATTTTCAATGTGTGCGGGTGCATGTATTTATTCGTGAGTTTGCATTGACTTTATATGTAATTGCCCTACACAAAAAATGTGCTTCACGTTTATTGGATTGAATTCCCTCTGAAATGGAAATTACAATTGCCTAACAATTGCATCAAAGTACGCTAGTCCATGTACTCTCACCACTGCATTACCATCAGTTTTACACCATTTTGGTCACATTTTGTGCTTTGTTTAAAAAGGAGACAGTTCTGATTGCAGCAGGCAGCGTAATACTGTACATTCATGTTTATGTTTAAAGCATTACCCACTAAATCCTGCAGGTAATAATATTTACACGTACCCATTTCCCCATCACTTTTAATGATTGCAACCATGTAACCATAACAAATACTGCAGCCTGCCTGGGATGTTGATCAAAATGAAATCAGGACCACAACCTCAAGGTTTGGTTTGCTAAATGAGACACTGTAGACACACACATGGCGCGCACATTTGAGGTGAAGACAGTTGGTGGGAAGTGCTCACAGCACAATGAGGGGCTAACCACATTTGGTTTCATGTATCACCTCCGTAGACAATTGTAAAAATCTGGATTCAGGATTTTGAAGAAGCCTAGTTGACTTAAGCCAGTGTACAAGAAACAACTTGGAATTATGGTGTCTTCCTGATTGCAGTAATTGGAAAACTATATATCACAATAAAACATGAAAGGCAATTCAATTTGATTTGGATAAGTTAGAGTAAGCATGTTTAGTTAACGGCATACATGGACTTAAAGTCAAAAGATAATGCTTAGGTCCTTTGGAGTCAACAAGTCAGCGGAGTCTCCCCACGAATGACATCATTGCACTAAGGTATAACAGCTTTTTGTCACGCAAGGCACACGGCTGAAAGAGGAGCGGTGGCTGGATTCTGGCCAGACAAGTTTCAGGAAGACTGTCATGTAACCTTGTAGACACTGACTGGAGGAAAGGCCTGAAGTGAAGTGTACTTCCTTGCCTGGTTTGACGTTGGTGCTGTGAATGCGTTGCTCGAACATCCTTCCTTTGTACAGTACCTTTTACTTCCTGTTATAATAAAGCAGCCACCACTCTGTCAGCCTTAACCTTTAAAAGATAAAGCCTTCTTTGACCCGCTGTCCTCTCTGACTGCAACATGACTGAGGTGCATCTCTGAGAAACTGTACATAAAATTGCATTACATAACTTAGTACAATAATGTGGCGCGGCTCATGGTTTGCTGCATTTCAGCTAGTGTCAGAGGGGCCTGTGCATACAACTTTGACGATATACTGCCTTTCTGACAGTTTATGTGTTTTATGTGTGCCAGTAATTCATCCATATTTTGGATATGCTTAACAAACTATCATTAACTGATGTTATTCTGCTTTTTTATGTTGCTTTGGTTTGGTGTGCTCTTCATTTCTTCCCCCCCACCCAAAGATTAAAAAAAGATAAATAGGTAGATAAGGTGCAAAGAAGTTGGAGGATAGAGGAGTCAGTACTCTATGAAGTTGTCTGGATCCTTTGTCAAGAAGAAGCTATCATGTGGACGGCCAGCCATTTTGTGTCTTAAGATTGTCGCCATTAGGAGTTGTGTTGCACAGGTTAGTTCCTGCATATGTACCTGCTGTTCTTGAAAGAGGACCCGCGGAATACCTCAGAGTTATTTTGGAACTGGCGGTATGCGCGGACTGGTGAACGGGCTGATACTGGGGATCTAGATTCACGTCGGCAGCATTAACCTGGTTAATTTATCAAGGAGATTTGTTTTGCTCTTTTTGTCATCAGATCACCATGGTTAATTCATTTAAGGACTGGATTCATATTAAAGCTAGAATAAAAGTAGGCATAGAACCACGGACAAGCGGCATCAAGTGTCCGGTTCTGGCACCCGGCGTTCTTAGGATAATAAGACATATTCTAGTTAGGGAATAAATGTCAGTATTATGGGGCGGTAAGCTAAACACCCAGTCACAGCACAGGCAAAAAAATTATGACGAGCTTTATTGAACTATCTTTATGGGACTTTAGGTTGTCACTTATGATATCGATATGTATGTAAGGGTGGACTTTTATTTTGATTGGTTATGAAAGGTTGTTCTGACCACATAAGAACATGATTATTTACCCGTTTCTACCTATAAGTTCCTTTTGATTCGTCATGGATATTTTCTTAAATGTTCTTTCGCTCTCTTGTATAGTGAGTGCCTCTGTGTCAACAAGAGACTATCGAGTTCCTCACTTTCGACCTCAGTGTATTTGCCCTAACAGTATCACAAAAGGTTCATCGTTTGTTTCAAAATTCGTATCTATCAATCATATTATACACTCCGTTCGCATTTCGCGGGTGTACGAAAAAAGGAGCTCGCTATTCTATAATCTATTACAAAAATAATTAGCTGCATGTTGGTTACCTATTATTTAAACGATTGATGCTTATCTCTCAATTTATGTACGCCCCCATGTATTAACAATAACACTATCCATCATATGTCCATCAGTACTAACACTCTACTATCTTGCAATTCTTTGCATTCCTTAATCTCTTACGCTTAATTTATTCTTTTTTTAATGCTTTGGGTGGGGGGGGAAGAAATGAAGAGCACAACCAAACAACCGAAAAGCAATCATAAAAGAGAAGAGAATAACATGCAGTTATATGTGAATTAGTTTTTGAAATGCATATCAAAATATGGATTGAATTACTGGGCAGGCACATAAAACACAGTGATAACTTTGTCAAGAAAGGCAGTATATCGTCCAAAGTTGTAAGCACAGGCCTCGTGACACTAAGCTAAATGCAGCCAAACCATGAGGCGCTGCACATTAGTTGTACTAAGTTATGTAATCAATTTTATGTAGCAGTTTTCTCAAGAGATGCACTCAGTCTATGTTGTCACGTCAGAGAGGACAAGCGGTCAAAGAAAGGCTTTATCTTTTAAAGGTTAAGTTGCTGACAGAGTGGGTGGCTCTTTATTAATAACAGGTGAAGTAAAAGGTACTTGTAGCAGAATGGAAGGATGTTCGAGGCAATCCGCATTCACAGCACCAACGTCAAACCCAGGCAATGGAAGTAGCTACTTCACTTCAGGCCCGTTTCCGTCCAGTCAGTGTTCTACTAAGGTAGCATGACCAGTTCTTCGCTGAAACTTGTCTGGCCAGAATCCAGCGCACCTCTCTCTTTCAGCCCGTGTGCTTCTTGCGTGGATCAAAAAGTGTTATTATCCTTAGTGGCAATGATGTCATTCGTG